TGCTCTAAAAGCACCAGCTGACGAACAGGTCCAAACTCATGTCCCTTCGCATCCCTCAGATTCCCCTTCAGCTGGCCACTCAGTTCAGGTGAATTGCTTGCCATCAAACTCAGCTAAATATTATTCCCATCCTAATCACATCACACCTTTACAGCGGGAAAATACTGGGCATCCTAACCAACAGATAAACTCGCAATCTCAAAAAAATCGCCACCTACGTCTTTCTTATCCACACTTCCCGTACAATTCCCTGCCAGTGCCCTGGTCTCAGGCTCAGAGGACCTTTTCTCGCCTACACCCCTTCAGACCTTCCGGGGTTCAGCTGTCGTTGGTGGAGCACGGTTCCTCACCTATCTCCACATTAACCACTTCAGTCCCAGTTCCAGATAGAGCACAGCCGTTTTATTCGACTGTCTCACCGTCAAACGAGCCAGCCAATACAACTACTGCCCAGTCCGCCTTACCCTCTTTCTCCTCTTCTAGGTTTACTCAGGCTACAACTAATTTCCCAGTCACTGGCAACCAGTTTCAAAGCTCACCAGTAGGGAAGGACATTGACAACAATATCCGAATCTCTAACACGACCAGTGGACTCGAGAGAACTTCTTGTTTTGACACCAATTCTTTATCTCCACTTCCGCCCTTTAATCGCGGTACCCAGGGCTCCTGGCTCCGAGTCATCCCTCCTAAAGAGACTAGTTTGTCCCAGATTCCTGCAGAGGGTGCCTGTAGGCCAGCTCTACCCGCACAAAGTGGCCCTTATCAGCCTGGCTTAGAGGCCGGCGGAGCCAACGTGAAGAAAGAGTCGGCCGGCGGCATAGTGTTGGCGTTCACCAACGAACCTGCCAGAAAAGACTGTCTTGAAGACTCTCCGTCTGCTGAATTCTTGCCAGGCGCATCGCCACCAGGCCAGATATCTTTCTCCTTTCCTAGACTAGCTTCACTCAGCAACAGTTTGCAACCAATTGCACCTGCTCTCGCGGCTTCCTCCAGTCTTTCTCCACCTCTTCCTCCGCCTCATTATCCATTGCCTTCACGAGTGCCTTCCCCCTTTCTTGGCCCATTTGAGCCCTGTTGTCAGCACTCCGATATCGCTGGCCTTCCAATCGGCTTTTCGGGCCTATTGTCCGGCTCACATTCAGGCAGTCCCACTGGTGGCCCGGCATTCTTCAGTAATCTCCATCGTTTCTCGCCTGGCTACGGTTCAACAAACCCTACCAACCTAGCACTTCCTGCGCATCATCAGCTTGGCCTGACCTGGCCAGCGAATTCGCTTCATTCTCTAGTCGTACCACCCGTTGCTATTCAGCCTCATCTTTCTACAATTGTCCCTCCACTTCCAACACCCGCATCTTCCGCGCTTCATTCTCTGCCTCAGTTTCCAGGTCTTTTTCCAGGTTTCTTGACTTCATCTTACGGGCAAACACTAGCAGTTCAGACGACAGATACCCAATCCACGGCATCGAACAGGAAAACTAACTCACTCCACTTGCCTGCATTGCAGACTGCCGCGACGGTCTCCGGACAGATAACACCTTGTGATATCACCCTCATTCCAATCAGTCCAGAGGCAAGTGATAGGTGATAAATCGAGCATTTTTAGGCTAAAATGAATTTATCAAATGTTCATTACTTCGCGTACTCCCTCAGTGACATGCATAAAACTTCGGCTACTGCCCGTTACCGTC